CTCGAACTCACAGAGATCTGCCTGCCTCTGCCTCCTGAGTGCTGGGATTAAAGGCGTGCACCACCAACACCCAGCTCTGGTTCCGTTTTTTAAAGCCTTCTGCTCTTTGACAAAGTCCCTTTGGGGAAACTGTAAATATAGCCTCTTGAAAAGCTTACAGGTATTGTAGCTTGAACATAAAATGTCCCTCATAGGCTCATGTAGCTGAACACGTGGTCCCTAGCTGAGAGGTTGTGGAACCTTTAGGAGGTCAAGCCTCACTGGAGGAAGTGGATCAGGCCTTGAGGCTTTACAGCCTGGCTCCACTTCCTGTTCACTCCCTGCTTCCTGAATGTAGATGCGATGTGACCAGCCAGGCTTGCTCCTGCCACCATACCTTCCTTGACCTACCATCACCCCTTTCCCACCATCATGCCTTCCCCACCATGGTGTACTTAATCCCCATGAAAATATAAACCCTTAAGCTTATTTTGTCAGGCTATTTTATAACAGCAACAGAAGTGTAACTAAGATACCAGGGAACCTACCCTCTCAAAGACTCAAATACAAAGCCGGGTGTTGGTGGCACACACCTTTAATTCCAGCACTCGGGAGGCAGAGGCAAGCCAATCTCTGTGAGTTCGTGGCCAGCCTGGTCTCTAGAGCGAGTGCCAGGATAGGCTCCAAAGCTACACAGGGAAACCCTGTCTCAAAAAAAACCAAACCAAACAAACAAACAATAAAAAAAAAGACTCAAATACAGAGGGATCTTGCTTTCTTAATTACAATGGTGTACTGGAGTACATGTCTACAGTTCCACTTACTGATTGTCTCCTATCATATGCTGTCCTCGTGGGTCCTGTGAAGTTCAGAAAGCATTGCCTTTCACTGTAGGTATAGCAGAATGGACAGAGCATGGACTTCTGGGTCAATCAGGCCTGTGACATTCAAGTCACCTCATATCTTTCTACCTTGGTCTTTCCCATGTTCTGAAATAAGGATGCTGCAGATAGTGCTACCTCATAAGTTGGTGAAGGATGTTAAATGAAATGATACGTGGGAAATGTTCAGCACAGTGCTTTGTACATAGTGACCCTTCAGTGAATTGCCCCCCTTGCAATACTTCTCAGTCATCCTTCCCTTGCCTAGCTGCAGAAGGGTTAGTTTCTATTAATCTTTAAAACTCAACTAGGTTGTAAAACACAAAACAAAAAACACAAACAAACTTTGTCTTCTAACAACTTGAAACCACCACCACCTTACTAATACTCATTCAATGGATTGTCTACAAAGATGTGAGTGTCTGGTGCCTACCCAGGCCCTCCCATTGTTCCAGTGGCTGCTGCTGTTACACTCAAATACCTTCCATCACAGGGCTGTGACTCCTCACCTAGGGCCAGGCTTCAGCTAGAGGGCTGTGGCCAGAAGGCAAGGTGGCTTCTGGCCATGACTGGGACACTGCAATTATCTAACCCTTCCCCCTATCCTCTCTGCTTGGGTCTACTGTCAAGGTTATTTGCTCCTGAACTCTTGCTATGGTTCTTCTTTGACACAATGGCAGGATTCCAATTGTCATGGTGAAATCAACACTCCATGGCTGGGCAGGGTAGCACCCCAGCTCTTGGGAGGTGGAAGCAAGAGGGTCAGGAGTTCAAGGCCAGTCTGGGGTACATGGGATTTTTGTCTCAAAAAACTAACCAACCAATCAATTAACCAAAAAACAACAACAACAACAAAAAACCAACAACAACAAAAACAAACAAAAAACAAAACCAACAACAAAAAAACCCCACAACCACAAAACAAAAAACCACCACCACCACGATACACCTAAAGCTCCATACAAACCAACTTTTTGTTGATCATTTATATTGACTCGGTTTTGCCCAAGAGTGCTCTCAAAAACACAAAGCAAATTATGCTAGTCTCTACTGAAACTCAATGACTCTCCATATCAAGTTCAAGTGACCGAACCTGGTGCACCCTAGTCCTTGCTTACCTGGGGTGACTGGCATACAGTGTTCAGTAGTTTGTTTGTTTTCTGGATGGAAAATAATGGAACAAATGTACAATCTGTCCTTTAAAGCCATGCTGGTTTTGTCCATTTTCCTTTCCAGGTGCTGCCTGACTGTGTATTTGTGTGTTGTTTTCTAAGCCCATGGAGTCTTGTTTGCTGTCTGGCTCAGAAGTAATTCTTTAGATATATTTTTTTCTGCCTCCTTAGAATCTGTGAGGAGTCCTAATTTGGTGTTCACTGCAATTTTGGTAATGCACAGGACAGCTTGCTGGCATTAAAGCACCTGTAGTGGAACCCTCCATGCACTTTGTGGTGTGCCTTCCTTAGACTGGCTATAGCTCTTCCTTTTGTTCTCTGCTTTTGTTTATTTTATTTTGTTTATTTTGGCCTCGTACATGCTAAGCAAGTGCTTTCTCAATTATGCTACAAGCCAACCCACGTCCTCTGACTTCTCATCAGCTCATGGCTCAGTTCACACTGGCTGCTTCACAGAAGGT